AAAGCAAACTACAATGTACAGGAAAATGGGAACGGTATGATGAACCCCAAATCCCACCATGCAATCAGTTAACAAATCAGTCAACAGTTTACAGGGAAATGGGAACAGTAACCAAACCCTAAATCCCACAGTAACTTGCCAGAAGAGAAAACTTTAAACAAGTACATGCAAGATAAATCCATACAAACAAACAATGAAAAAGCAATACATGCAACACTGACACCCCTGGTGAACCAGTAATCAGCTCGCCCTTACTTGCCTTCTGAGTACCTCTAGGACAGCCTGCTCCATGCATCTTCCGGTTCTCAGCACACCCCTACACACCTTCCAGTTCCTAGCCTGCCCCTACTTGCCTTCTGACCACCTCTAGGACAGCCTGTCCCTATGCCTTCTCAGGACAACAGTTTTCGGGACGACCTACGCACCATCGGCTTTCGGAACAACCTACTCACCTTCCGGCTCTCGGTAAGGCCTGCTGGACCCAGGGACATGCAAAACACAGTACAATCAAAACAAAGACTGAGTCCACACCCGAAGGCAGCAAGCATACACCTCTCAGCACACATACAGATACTCAGTCCATCTTTGCCTCGTCCACTTGCTGAAAGACAGCAAGCTCCCCGAGGCCAGGCCTACACTCAAGGATTCAGAGGGCCTGTCCACCACAGAGGCCTGGTCCACCCACAGAGGCCTAGCCCACTCGCAAAGGCACAGCTGACTCATGGAGGCTCAGTGCAGACATAAAAAGGTGAAAATACATGCAAAAGTAAAGTGCAAATGCTTAAAATTGTGGTGCAAGAAGCAAGGCTTGCCACCGATTCATCTTTGCTTCAGTTTCTTTGTCATTCTTTATACCCAGTCCAATCATCTGATCTTTCACTCATCATTGCCGTTAATGCTTTTTCCTTAAGTGTGATGCTTTCCCTAGCTTCTTCAGTTAACCATGGATTTTGGGTCCTCCCTTTAGAATGTTTTACTGTAGTAACCAGCCAGTTTAGAAAAACAATTCCCCACTGAGAATTAAAATCCAACAGTAACACTGCCTGTGATCCAGCCAGCCTAGAAATCTGTTCTCAAAAAGTGAGAAAGAATCCAGAGTACTACAGGCTGTAACCAGCCAGCTCAGAGTCAGTCTCCTGAACTGAGGAAATTCTAAATCCCCTGCTTATATTGGTCAGCCAGGACTTTCCTGATTGACCGAGGTCAACAACCCCAATCAAGGACCTCATAGTCAATGTCATTCACTTGGTTCGAGTCACTACACCTACCTTTGTGTTCTATGTGAATTAGCTATCATGCCTTCAATTACCTCATCTAGTCATTGATTTAAATTAAAAGATGATGAGTCCTCTGACAGACTCCACTGTTATGCCAGTGAAACAAAGACACATTTATGCATGTTTTTTTGTTTTCTACCAGCTAGCTAATCATCTATTCATGTTAATGTTACGCCCTACATGATCATCTTTTATTTTCTGTAATAACTTATGGTATGGCATCTTATTGAATCCTTTCTGGAAATCTAAGTCTATACGCCCTCCTTTACCCATAGTACATGGTACTTTTTCAAACAGATCAAAAAGATTAATTAAAAATTATTCTCCTTTCATGAAACTGTGCTGGTTCTCCCTGATTGTTTGACTAATTAAACTAACTTGCCTATAGTTTTCTATTTTGTACCTCCCTTTCTTCTTGAATAGAGGGGTTATAAATGTTATTTTCCACTCACAAGGAATCTTCCCTGAATCTAGAATAGTTTGGAAAATTAACAATTGTATCTACTAGCTCATATCCTAAGCTATTAGAGGAGCTGGAAAAGTCCATCTGAACCTAGAGACTTGTCAGCTGCAGCTTCATCAGTTTGCTTAGTACCACTTCCCTAGTGATTGTAATTTAACTAAGTTCCCCTCTCCCTTCCACGTCCTGACTACAGTTCACACTGAAACATTTTTTGCATCTTCTATTGTAAAGATAATAGCAAGATATTGTTTTATTTCATTAGCTATGTTCTTATTATCTACTATTAACTCCCCATTTCCACTCACCATAAGACCAACACTCACTTTCTTACATGTTTAATTTTTAAACACCTGCACAAACTGTTGCTATCTGTTTTTACATTTTTAGCTAGTCTCCTCCAATACATTAAGTTCTTCTTCCTGATTAGCCTTTGATTTAGTCTTTGTCATTCTTTATACCCAGTCCAATCATCTGATCTTTCACTCATCATTGCCGTTAATGCTTTTTCCTTAAGTGTGATGCTTTCCCTAGCTTCTTCAGTTAACCATGGATTTTGGGTCCTCCCTTTAGAATGTTTTACTCTAGTAAGGACATACTTATCCTGAGTACTCCAAAATAATCCTTTAAATTATCTGCCATTGCATCTCTATTGTTCTATTCCCCACCCTAGTATGGCAGTTCACTTCAACAGCTCAGCTATCACACTCACATTGTTACCCTTAAGCAAGTTTAAAATGCAGGTCATTAATTAATCTTGTCACATTGCACAATATCATGTCTAAAGTGCTGGCTCTCAGGTCAATTCTGCCCTAAGAAACTACCTCAAACTATTCTATGAGTTCTCTATCCAGAATACCACTACCAATTTGATTTTTCTAGGTCATATAGAGGAAGGGTAGATGGTGACATAGCAGTAGCGTCAATGGTCTAGCAATCCAGAACCCCTGGCTGATGCTCTAGGGACACAGGTCTGAACCCCATGGCAGAATGTGAAATTTTGAATTCAATAAAATCTGGAATAAAGTGCTGGCCTAATGGCTATCTATTGTCAATTGTCATAAAAATCCACCTTGTTCATCAATGATTATTACTTAAATAAAAACATAAATTCTGCAGAAACTAGTCAGGTCTGGCAGCATCTGCAAAGAGAAACAGTTAACGTTTTGAATCCAAAGATGCTTCTTTCAATGTTCCAAAGAACAGTCTTTGGACTCAAAACGTTAACTCTGGTTCTTTCTGCATATATGCTGCCTGACCAGCTGCGTTTCTTCAGCATTTTCTGTTTTTTTTTCAGATTTCCAGCATCCGAAGTATTTTGTTTTTACAGGATTATTGCTGTCCCTTTATCACAAGCACGTAAAATTTCTCCTTGCACGTATCATCCTAAATCGTGTTTACTGTTGGGGATCCTGTAGACCAATAGTGAGTTCTTTCCCTACTGTTCCTCATCTCCACCCACACTAATTCTACATCCTAATCTCCTGAATCAAGGTCATCTCTAACTATTGCACAAATGCCAGTCTTGCTGAACAGTGTTACTCTTCCACCTTTACCTCGCTTCTTATTCCTCTTGAATGTCACATACCCCTCAATATTCAGGATCCAATCCTTATCATCCTGTAGCTATGTCTTCATAATGGTTATCAAATCATATTTATTTTGTTCAATATGCACTATCAATTCATTTACTTGGTTATGAATATAACATGCATTCAGAAGAAAAACCTCAGGTTTGTCTTTTTGCTATCTTTGTAGTGTAGATCTTTGGTGCATTGTTAGGTTTTTCTCTCTGTCCCACCTGCCATTCTCTGGTCCACATTTCCCACATTACTACTTTCATATCATATATAATCTTCACTCTTTCAATACATTACATCTTTCCAAATTTTTTCCCTTGCCCCTACTGTTTGATTAAAGCTCTATCTACTTCCCTATTTATGCAGTTCACAAGAACATTAGTTCAGCATGGTTCAGGTGTATACCATCCCCACTGTTCAGCTCCCACCTTACCCAGTACTGGTGCCCATGCCCTGTGAATCAGAATCCATTTCTTACACTCAGTTTTTTAGCCATGCAGTCAGCTCTCTAATTTTATGTACCCTGTGTCAATTTGCATATGGCTCAGGTAACAACCCAGAGATTTTAACTTTTGGGTTTCTTCTTCTTAATTTAGTACCTAGTTTCTCACAGTCTGTTCAGAACCTTTTTCTTAGTTCTGAGTTGTTGGTACCTTAAGGATCACAACAACTGAGCCTCCTCCACCATTTCAAGCTCTTCTCCACCCAGAGCAGATGTCTTGACGTGTGGCACCAGGCAGGCATCTGGCCTCCAGAGAACAGTGTCAATCACTCTCACTATACTGTTTCTTATTACCACTATATTCCTTATTACTCCCTGTATCACGGTTCCATGGTTAGCTTGCTCATCCACCCTGATCGAAAATAGGTGCAAGAACCTCAAATCTACTAGAAAATTGCAGAGGATGAAGCTCTCATTCAATTCTGCTCTCCCTGCTGTACGAAGGAGTTTGCGAAACTTGAAAGGATTCAAAAAAAAATTTACAAGGATGTCACCAAGGTTGGAGGTTTGAACTACCGGGAGTGGCTGAATAGGCTAGGGTTATTTTCCCTAGAATGTAAGAGGCTGAGGGGTGACACTAGAGATGTTTATAAAATCATGAGGGGTATGGATAGGGTGAATAGCCAAGGTCTTTTTCCTGGTGTGGGGGAGTCCAAAACAAGAGGGCATAGGTTTAAGGTGAGAGAGGAAAGATTTAAAAGGGACCTAAGGAGCAACTTTTTCACACAGAGTGTGGTGCATGTGTGGAATGAGCTGCAAGAGGAAGTGTTAGAGGCTGGTACAATTACAATGTTTAAAAAGCATCTGAATGGATGAATAAGAAGGGTTTAGAGGGATATAGGTCAAATGCTGGCAACTGGGACTGGATGAATTTAGGATATCTGGTTAGCATGGACGAGTTGTACTGAAAGGTCTACTTCCATGCAGTACAACATTATGACTCTATGACTCTCGTCCTGTGCGTCTCTTTAGCTGCATCATTCACAGTCACGTCCTGTCCCTATCCTGACCAATCCAAAGTGGTTTGGCTGCCTCTAGGTACAAAGAATCTAGGTGACTTTCACCCTCCCTGATTTGTTGCAGTGTCTGCAGTTCAGCTTCCAATTCAGAGACAGTAGTGTGTGTTTGATGGTATTTTGTATTCGAATAAACATGCTTATTTTTTTCGTTGTTACCATTAGGTTTTGTGTTGGTGATTGGACTGGTGACATTCTATCGAATTGGTCCTTATACTCATCTCTCTTGGTCATGCTACCTGGACATTGGAGCTTGTCTCTTCTCAACACTTTCAGCAGCTATGTTAATCTGGAACATATTACACCGGCGAGAGGACTGCATGACACCCCGTGTTATTGTTATTCGTCACTCAAGGCCCCGTTTTGAAAATGACTACGTGGAGTCGCCGTGCTGAAGTGAAATTGAGGACAGAAAAGGAGAGTATTTGCACGTGTTTGAGAACTGCAGGATCTCTGCTTGCTCATGAACTAACTAAATCTCTGCCCGACAGTCAAAATAAGGGGAAGGTTGGATGAGGTAGATGCACCGCTGGGGAGGGAGAAAGCAAGGGTTGGAATTTGAAAACATTATCAATTTTGATTTGGGTCACCAGTACAATTTCTGAGGAACCAAGCAAATCATCGATTAAATACACCACATTAGAATATTACAGCATAGTATAAACACAGGAGAACTAATTCAGCACCAGGAGGGAACAAATGTGCCTCAAGTATCTGAGGGGCTCCACTAAATTCAAAGGCACTTCCCGTAATCCAACTGCAAATAGCTTAAGATCCTGACTGGTTGACAAATTGCTGGCAAGATGCAGTGTCAAGGACATTGAGTACCTTGGTGACGAGGGCTTGTCAGTTCTAGGCCAGGACATTAGGTCGAGCAACATCGTGAAAAAGGAATAATTCTCTTACTTCTCTCCCCCGCCACTAAGTTCAAACACCTGCTCCCAAGTGTCAAGACTTTATTATGGATAACCAGGTATCAAGATTGATAAATATTTAAAGGAATAGTACTCAACAGTTGAACAATCTAGACTTTAATTTAAATCAGCTAATTAGATAGGACACAATATATGTATTCTTTAGCATTAGAATGACTAGAACCACATGTTATTTGCATCTGACATTCGTGAAATCAGAATGTAATCAGACAAATACATCAGATACATCAGAACAGAAGTAGGCCATTCAGCCTGTCAAACCTGCCCCACCATTAAATACAAGCATGGCTTGATTGTTTCAATGCCTTTTACTCATACATTCCCAAAACTCTTGATGCCATTGGTAACCAGAAATTTATCAATCATTTCTACTTTAAACAGACTGAAATTTCACAGCCCTCTAAGCGTACAGAATTCCAGAAATTTATAACCCTCTGAATAAAAAGAATTCCTCCTTATCTCAGTTCTAAATTGCATTCTCCTTATTTTAAAATGGTGCCTCCTGGTTCTAGACTAACCAGCCAGGAAAAAAACATCTTATCTAGATCTACTCTGTATACCCCTTTCAGTATTTTGTAGGTTTCAAGGAGAGCACCTCTCATTCATCAAGCTTCTTGAGAATAAAGCCCAGTGTTTGCCCAATGTCTTTTAATAAGGCAGTCCACCATCCTGGAACCAAGTGTGGTGATTCTTTACTCCAGTCTCTCTATGGCAACAATATCATTCCTGAGGTAATATGACCTCAGTTGGCTGGATGGCAGACTGATGCCAACAGTGTGGGTTCAATTCCTGCACCAGTGAGGTTACCATGAAGGACCCTCCTTATCAAACTCTTTCCTCACCTAAGGTATGGTGACTACTATCAGTTGTCTCTCTCTAAAGACAGCACTATTGTCCAGTAGGACTATGGCGACTTTACCTTTAATAATAGATTCTTGCAATTTCCCTACTACTGGTGTTAAGCTAACAAGTCCTAGTTCCTCATTTTCTCTCTTGCTCCCTTCTTAAAGAATGGGATGACGTTTGCTAGCTTCCAAATTACAGGAATCATTCCAGTATTTGAACTCTGGAATGGACAGGCAGACTTACAGATCAGAAGATTCAACAAATTAAAGTAAAATTTTAACAGCAATATTTAACATGAATGGCTATCCTAAAAACATAACTGGAATTCATAGCAGTTGGGTGGAGTTAAAATGAAGATGGATTTAACCAATGGGTCTTTTTAAGAAAACACTTCCGTAATTCAGTACTTTCAGTTGCTTTTTCAAAGTGCACTGTCAATGTAAAATATTAAAATAAATGGTAAGAGCACTGCTTGAGTTGGAAACTCATCCTTGCAGTCTTCTATTGTCCTTTACCATAGCTATCTTCATGTGCAATCAATGTTTCTGCACCATACTGGAGTGGGTTTTCCAGGGATAGGGGACATACAGCTGGCCACTGGACATGTTAGGTGTTGTGAGGTTTTCTATATCTGCCTTAGTAAGATATTTATTATGGTTCTATTGCACCCCTGGCACAAGTTGATCTTTAGTTCAGGTTTTGGGTCAGGAAGTAAGGCAGGAAACCTGGTCACGAAAACAGGACAGAGAAGTCACTGTCAGGATCTTCTGGCTACTTACTGTTGCGCTAAATGAAGGCTTCCTGCCCATCCCAGGCCTGATATCCCTGAAGGCAAGAGATTTAACAGGCAATGGCCTGCCTCTCTCCAGCCCCTCAGTCAGAGAGGTGGGTGGGGGACCAAGTGTTGTCTGTTTTGAATATACCATATAAAAATCTGTAGAGAAGTGAGACAAGAGCATCCCTTCATACTTTGCTTCTATGAGAACAGTTGGTCTGAGCAACTCCAATCTGTATCTTTGGGAAAGTCCCATACATTTCAGGACAACATAAAAGGGTGGGGAATTCAATGTCACAGAAGTCCCTGATCTTAGCGATTGGGAAACACATGTTCCTTTGAGCTTATTTCAGGACAACCAGGCCCATTACTCTCAATAAATGTGATCATAAAAGGTGGACTGAGAAAGCATATGCCCAGATGTGGAATATAATTTTACTGTTTCAGTTCCGTGTTGTTTCAAATACTGGAAGCAACATCAGTGGAATTGTTGCTCTATTTCCTGCCTGTGAAATCTGAAATCATTGGTTCGGTGGTGAACCTAGAATCCACATTCTTATTGTTACCAATCTGCTGAATAAACTACACTCTAGAGTAAGAAAAAGAAATCACACAAACCAGATGAATTCAATGTGTGTAATAGTGTTCATTCACAACTTCAATTTGAGACCATCACTACCTGTACCAGACCTATTAGTTCTAGTACTTCTCAAATATTACATTTTAAAAGTGGTTTGTCCAGGCATATGGATTAAAACAAAATTTGTAAATGTAATTCGGGGTATTTTGCACAATTTGAGTGAATAGAATGTGAAATTTTAACAAAATAACATCCATTATGTCTTACAGTTTGTTACAACACTTCTACAGTATGCCACTCAACTCAACTGACTGAACACTGAACACTAATCAAATTCATACCAATGAATGGTAGGTTGGAGGGTTCAGCTTCAGCTGGATGCTCGACACACAACATACAGATGCTAGCTATTTAAGCTGCTAAGGTATTAAAGCAATATATTCAAAAAAGAAGTATAAGATTGAAAGCTCAATACATATTTCAGCAAACAGGGCTGTTTTCAATTGCAGCAAAACTGCTCAAGATTAACCAAAACACTTGAAAATAACTCAACATTCAGTTTTAACTGGGTTATTCTAATTCCTAAACTAGTAACATTTAACTTTTTTTGTAATGTTCCACTTTGCAGCTGTTTCTTAGTTCCACATTTTGTACTGCATAAAAATACTTTTTAATTTGTCAGTAGAAGGCACACACATTTTTACAGATATTCTCACACACAAAATGACACATATTATTATGATATTATCTCAAGAACAAAATACCAATAATCACTGAAGTTGGTGGTGATCCACTTTCCATAAATATCTGAGGCCAGAATAGGAAGAGTTTCAGGATTTTGACTCAGTAATTATAAATTTGAAACAACAAGTCAGAATGGTGTGTGATTTGTAGGGATAATTATCCAGTCACCACCTGTGGGTTGTGCTACAAATCACATACCATTCTAACTTGACTATGTCTCAACTTCACAACTGCTGGGTCAAAATCCTGAAACTTTTTCTAACTTGGACTCAGCTGTTTAGAGCAAATTGATTACCACGACCACTTTCTCAAAAGCAATTAAGAATAGCCAATAATTACTGGCCTTGCCAGAGACATTTGCATCTCATAAGTGAATTTTAAAAAAGAAACATTAACATGGAGCAAAAATATTGAAAACAACCACATGGAAGTGCTCTGGCTATTATATAGGAGGTACCATCCCGGTAACACATCAGCAGATACTCATCTAGCTCCTTTTCACCAAAAAACAAATCCAACTGAGTCATGTTTATATACACAGTTAATGTGTGAACTCTTCCAAGCACAGTATTTGCACACTCTAAAGCTATACAGTGAGATATCTGATCAACCCAAACCAAACCAGCATCTACCCAGAGCGCTGTTCTCTGCAATGATTACTCTTACTGTTTTGCTATGTTAACTAAAAACCTAAATATATTGTAGCTAAATTGTAGAGTGGGGAGAGGCAACAGAGGTCAAGTTGGCTCTTGGGAACTACGTTTAAATCTATTATCAAGTTAATTGCATGTACTGGACAATAAATGACATAGATGTAAGAATAAAATTGTAAGTATATCTGTTACACAAACTCTGTTATTTCACATGCTGATTTTTTTCAAGTGCAGTTACAGTGTGTTTTGTGCAATTCTGGTACAGGACAGCTGTTACTGAAGTATTTAAGAAAGCAGAACACTTTTGGTTGTCATTGCTGTAACACATGAGTTTCTCCTGTGCATTTAATTTAAAGCCCAAATATTTCCTTAAATAAAATTCACATGATCAAGTTAATTCTGTGTCTGCATTTTCTGAACTGTTTTTTCCAGATTTTTCTATGGATGTCAGATATTTGGAATAATTTGATCAGTTTAACATACAGCAGAGGGGTTTGGTGGATCTAGCCAAAACTCAAATCAAGTTAGTGATTTACGGAAATACAAAATGCTCATCTGTACCTCCCCCAGTGTCCATTCTTCACATGAATGAAGGATCTTAGGCCATTTTGCTATTTTAAAGGTGCATAAAATGTAAATTGTTGTTATTGGAAAGCACTTTATGAGGAATTATCAGTTCATAAGATTACATAGAAAATACTGCCTGGAAACAGGCCCTTCAGCCCAATCAGTCCATGTCAGTGCTTTTGCTCCACTTGCACCTCCTCCCATCTTTCTTCATCTAAATCTATCTCCCTCATATGCTTCTCTAGTTTTCCCTCAACACATGTTTACTATTTGCTTCAACCACTCTGTGATAGTAAATTCCACATTCTTAACAGTCTTTGGTTTAAGAAATTTCTTGTGAATTCCCTATTTGATTTCTTTGTGAATATATTCTCCAAAATTTTTATTTTATAGACATCATTGATACATTTGGATCAAAATATAAACAGTACATTGTAGAAGAAACCACTACTTCAAAATGAATTTCAGATACACGCTATGATGAACTGCAATATACGTACACACACATGTATATATATCTGATTTATCAGTTCAGAATGACCTTGTCTTAAAAATAAATAGGCTACCAATCTGACCCTACCAACTAAGCTTCAATATTCTAAATATTGCAGTCCAGCAAATCATACATTATAATATGCCATGTAATAGTCACAGATACTGACCATGAATTCTTTCAATGAAAGGAGAGAAATTGCCTCACCTCTTGATGAGTTTAATTGATTTAAAAGCCTCGTCCATGTCTCCTATTGTCAAATAAAAGCTGAAATTTAGCATGGCATCACGTGTCGTCTTGTCACAGTCCTCCAGCCCAACAAAGTCTCGCAGGGGCCTCCTGGCCACCATTTGTGGACTCATAGGAGAGCCTGGCTTTGATTCAGTTTCATTCATGGTCTCCCCCGACTAGAATTAAATTTTAAAAATGTGATTATTGAGACAATCAAACAATTCTATTTCATTTCCCAATTCCCTTACTGAGTATGCTGACTCATGCTGTGATGCAATTCCACAGAGACTAGCACACCTATGTTGTATCCTTTAAAAGGTCATTTGCATTGCATGAATCTCACATACCAAGTGCTAGCCGACTGATCAATAATTGACAGGTGCCAAAACATAAACTGGGAGCTGAAGAGCCATCTTCCTAAGCTATACAACTCAACATTGTACCTGATAATGTTGACACTTCAGTTTTCAGAAACAAACCCACTACTTCAGGAACATCCAGCAGATCTTTAAAAATGGGGAAATTAATATAAAGGCCGGAAATACATCGGATATACTGCACAAAACAGGCCATTTGGCTAAAGCAGCCCATGCTGATGAATAGAATGCACTCATTCATCAGAGAAGTAGTGGAAAAGTTAGGTTGGCTTTCAGAGACCAATAGTGAAGCCTTTGTGTGGCATGCAAACAAGTCGCCTTCACTTTTCAAGCAAGCAGAGCTCTACTCAGCTGTAGATTGATCAGGTATAAAATACCTAATTCACTGGAAACTTCAAAGGGTAAACATTAATAAATCGGTTCCTCTCATAGCATTATGGCTTGAACATTTAAAATAAATGTTTGTAAGCTATATTAGGATAGAAATCACAATCTTGATGCTGAGAGTTACAATATATGATCATTTGGCATCACTTAAATTCACATGTGCTTTCTCATAGGGCTGCTGTCAGATTGAAGGTTAATGTATTTCAGTCTAAGTCCACATGAGGTGGAGCAGATTAATTGTTTTATTTTGGATGTGTCATTGTGAAATGTTCTGTCAAACTCTCTCAGGGCAGATACGGAGTAAAACTCTCTCTACATTGTTCCATCATATCCTCCCCAGGGCGAGTGCAGAAAAGGTTAGAAAGGCACTCTCCCAATTTTTAACTTTGTGCTAAACTGTTACTCCTGAAATGTATAAAACACAACATCAGTAAAAGGTAAATGGCCACTCTCCATATCACTGCATAACTATAGCACAGCGCCTATTGAACATTTGAATATTTTTGAAATAGTGAATTGTCAAAGGCAAATTTTGTTAGTACTCCACCATCCTGTATACCTTCTTGGAGAAGTAATAATAGGGCACCTCTAGCCCCAGCAGGGCTTCATGGGACACCATCTTGGGGAAACTGTCCTGCAGCAACAGACCATGTTCCTGTGTGATGAAGAATGATACCACCATAGCCTCCACCTGTCAAAATGGGAAGGTGCAAAGGAAAATATGATATAATGATTCAGGAATCAAAAATAGGTTCTACTTTGTGAAATGAGAATGGGTCAACTCCATATTACAGAAACACCAGGAATGCCATTCTCTGCAGGCATTCAGCAATATGCAAGTAGGATAATATTATACCATAAGACTCTGCAGTCTGATTATTGAAGTTGCATACTTCATGATGGTAATCACATAGTACTTCATTTAATTTGTATGATCCTACTTCCAAGCAAACTATAGCCAATTATGCAGCTGCTTGATCCATATGACTTTCTTTTCTTCCACTTAAAGTAACAGCTGAGGTGCATCACTGTGAAATTACCATTTCTAGTATATTCTCACTTAAATGTCATTGGGTGACATAGAAAGGGAGTAATTGAGCAGCAGAAAGAAAGAAGAAAGAAAAACCTACATTCATATGGTCACTTCCATGGCTACCAGACATTCCAAAAATGTTTTACAGCTAATCAGGTACTTCAGAAGTGTACTCACTTTTAATGCAAAAAATATGGCAGCTAATTTTCACACATTAAAACTTCCACAGCAACATGATAATAACCAGATAAACTGTTCGGTCATGTCGACTGAAAGAAAAATATTGGGGAGGACACTGAGATAACTCTCCTGTTTGCCTTTGAAATATTGTCATAAAATGTTCTATGGTTATTTGAGAGAACAAATGCGGCCACACCTTAATCTAATGACTCATCTGAAAGTTGATACCTCCAACTGTGCAGCGTTCCTCCAATAATGCATTGGAGTTTCACTTTGAGTTTTGTGCCTAAGTCCTGGTATGGGACTTGAACCTACAACCTTCATTGTTGAGACTGTCATCACTAATAGACAGCTGACACTGCGAAACTGAAAGTCCACCATAGTATCATTAACTAAACTCAGAATTTGTATTCTTTGCAAGGTATACAAAATCCCAGCAACCTAAACAGTCCAATTATCACAAAATATTGAAGTTTACAACACAGATGGGGTCATTATGTCTACATAGCCCAATCCAAAGCTAATCCCAAAATCATGCTCTTTCCCACACAGAATTTCATTGAACCAAAAGAATAGAAATGGTCTATTCAGTGCAACTGGTCTGTACTGACATTTAAACACCATTCAAAACTCTTCACAATTTAGTCAGCTATTCCACCCATCTCTCAAATTACCCTCTACCTTTCTTCCTTATGTAGACGACAAGCCTCTCTTTAAAGGCATTAAGGTCAAGGGTTATGATCACAGGGGTCAGACTTAGCTGATATTGATGCAATCATTAAACAAAAGTGAAAATGCCCTGACACTCAATGACAGAGGAACCCACTACTCAGAGTGAGGAAGCCTCCTGTTGTATTGAACAGCAGCATCCTTATCAAATTATTTAGAAATACAGAAGCAAGTATGGAAATGTTACAAAGTCATTGCTGTTTATGAAGCTGTTATTGCAGAGGAGCTTCAGTTTAGGACTACCAAAGCCTGGAATTTCATGATCCTACAATGTTCAATGTAGGCTGAAGTGGAGGGGGGGGTGGTGTTAAAAATGACAGACGAAGAATCTATTTCAAGATTCCTGCTCTCCTTCCTGGTGCCTCCAATTTTCATTGGCACAGGATAAGGAGTCTGGGTTCATAGTCCCAACCTGACAAGGTCCATTGTCAGGATAGCCATTTCGTGGAACCTTTCAATTTTCCCAACTTCTCCATGACTCAAGACTCACTGATCTCAGAGCAGTGGTAAACTATAGTTTGGATTTGGGATTCTTTTGAAAGATTTGTTCAAAAGGTCTTACTCATGTCCCTCCATACCCACTCCAACACATGCCCCTCCATCACCTATCTCCAGTGACCCCTGATACCCAGATCAACTCACCCAAGGCTCATAAGAGTCCAGACTTTCATAAAAGGATTACATTAGTGAGTTTGTTAACACAGTTGCAAAAAAAGGTTGATTGCTCTTTGATGTTATAATGAGCTAGTGTCGCCTGATTTCTTTCGAATATTTAACTCAAAGCTTTTTTATCCCCTACGAGATAAAGAGACGTCAAGAGTTTACAGCTTCTTTATTAATATTTTGATGGTTGGGCTTGACACTTTAATAGATTGTAGCAACAGTAGTACCTTTTCAAAACATTATTAATGAGCAATATTTCAGCATTTCACATACATCATTGTTACTATAAGGTTCGTTGTTTCTGTACTGGTGAACAGGTGCAGGTGTCATAAATCAGCATGGACAGTCAGGAAATTTCCCAACCTGAGCTACCTGACTCAAAATTTAAAATCCAACCATAAAGTCTCTTTCTTTCACCACAAATCTGCAATTTATGCCTCTGACAAAATACCCACCTTGTACTCTGGGCAATTGGTCTCAGGGGCTGCATGCAGTTTTGACTGTTTTGAGGTTGAAATAGCCAGAAGTGCTTCACACACAAATAGTTTAGGTTCATTCTGGTCCCAGAAATGGCTGATTGGATATCGTCCGAGCAGTTCACTCATTTCAGAATGCCCCCTGTATAATTAAAATCACAGACTATAAAAAGCTGCAACAAGGCAGGTGTTTCTGTCCATGTTAAATTAGTTAGTGGATTTTCTCCTGTTGTATTTGATGCATACAGTGAGGAAGGAAAA